ACAAAATTTCTGTTTCAACTGGCTAATGTCGGGTCTTTGTACTGTTGTGAAGTCGCGCATCTTGGAACCGGTTACTTGAATCTCTTCTTGCACAGTTCCATCCAGGGAATTAATACTAACTTGGTAGATTGGCATAGATTGCTTACTGATACCATTCAATGTTACAATTTCTCTAGACTCATGGTGAACTGGGGTTAACTTCAGTTTCTTTGCTGCATCCCGAGAGATAAAATTCCTTCCAGATCCTGTGTCAAGAAACGCCCACAATGTTTCTTCGCCTATTTTGACAGGAACTATGGCTGGGAGGGACTTTTCTTCTACATATGTACTGTAACCATGTAACACAGGCTCTGTAGTTGGTTTATCTGGTTTCTTCTTGTCACTCAAGCTGGTATGGTGTTTCGATCCACATTTAAAACAGGTACGACTACGACATTGGTTTCTCCGGTGTCCTGCTCGCCCACAATTAAAACACAAGTTCTTTTCGACGAAAAACTTCTTTCTTTGTTCCATTGTTGAAAGTGTCTTACACTCATCACTCCAATGCTCTTCTTGGTAAAACATGCAATGTGGGTTTTGTTTTCCTTCATTCTTGCGAGTGAACCAATTTCTATCCCTACGTCTATCATTTGGGGGTTTTGAACTCACATCTACCTTATTTCTCCTCAACCAAGCTTGCAGATTTTTAATAAGATCTTCCATGTTCCAATCTTCCCACTTTTCATCCACTCTCACGATGTCAGGTTTGACATGGGGCAACTTATTTAGGGTGGTCATAACAAAACCTTGCAACATATCTCCCTGTCCCAAAGTCTGCAAGGCGTCAAAGTTATTGTTAAGTCCTGAACCTTTTCATAGCTTGACCCTTTTACCGCATCTAGATTGGTTATTTCGTCCAAATGTGCATTAATTACCGATTTGGTTTGGCCATATTCTTGCTTAAGTCGATCCCATGCCATTTTATATCCCGAAGTACTTGGTTTTAGATTTGATATGCGATCTCTTACCTTTGGCACAACTGATTCAAGGAGATATCCAAACTTTTCTTCATCTGAGATAGGTCTTTTATCGACTTGTGTGAGAAACATATTCTCAAAACGAACCCAATCTGCGGCAGTGCTTTTAAATGCAGTGATTTTCAGTTGAGGAAGTTTCGCTAGACTGCTTTTCGCAGATTTCTCCATTTCGATTTTTTCTTTCCGTCATTTGCAGCTCAGCGGCGAACTTTTCCTCCCACATCAACTTTTCTCGCTCTCGTAATTCGATCAAACGTTGTTCATCCTTCTCGCGTTGCACATTTTGTTTACGTCGCTCTGCTTCGTCGTCAATTTCCCTCTGCCTTTTTTCAAGAATTTGCGAAAGCTTGTTCATTTTAGGCACCCATTGCGCGTACTTATCCTTCGTGTCTTTTTTCCATTGTCGTATTGCTCTCTGAGTTTCAGCTCCTCGATCAATTTTAAGCTCTTGTACACTTGCAACAAGATTATTTACTTTGTCAAATATGGCGTCTGTTCGTTTCTTTACAACTTCGATCTCTGCGTAATCGCCTTCTTCAATAATATCGTCGATTGGCTCGAGATAGTACTTTAGTTTTTCGATTTCCTTGTCTATTTCAACCTCCTTCTATTTTTCTGCTGCCTCCTCGCTCATTGTTATATGTTCCACGTCGTACAAATCGATAAATTCTCGTGTTTACATGACCAAATAATGTGTTGTTGTCGTTAAATAACTCGTTAAATATTTAAATTACCGTTCGATTTTTTGTTCAATCCTTGTCACGGCACCACTTATATACCGAACTTCTCTTGTTAAATTGTTAACAGGTATACAACCACAGAAATCACAAAGACAAATTACATTTATTTGTATAAAAATATAGAATTCTCACGCTCACAAATCACTTGTTTGTTTTGTCTCGTCTCACATAATCTAATAATAAACGATCCCCCATCAACATGCTCTTAATGTTTCTTTTATGCAAACGTCAATCATGCTTACGTCACTTGTATGGGGGGGTCCACTATTCCGTACAAAGGGCGCGAAAAAAAACAAAAAACAATGGCCTACAGGCGATTTTCTTCGCTGAATGAAAGTCAACTCACCAAATTACTTGGCAGATAAGGATAGTGAAAGAACGAAAAAAGCCACAAAGGGGTAAATAGAAGTAGAAATAGAATATACCTTTGACTGTGTGCAAGGTGTTTGATAATGATATTCAAATTGTAGTTTTTCTACCTCATGAACAGGAATCGTTTTAATGTTTCTCATGTCTTTAAATGTATAATAAAACAATTATTGGATTCGGCTTTCGCATGATATCAAGATCGAATTATTCAGACCTCGGTCTATGTAATCCGCCTCAGCTTCGCTTCGGCAGATAACATTGACCTCGGTCGGAATAATTCTTGATATCATGCTCAGCCTCATCCAATAATTGCTTAATATTTCAAATCCGAGTTAGTGTTTTAGACGTAGTTTCAAAATACAAGTGCCATGAACAATGGCGAGGCGCACAGGGGCGGCGCTAACCCTCTTCGAGTGGGGGGGAGGGGTGTGAGTAATCTTTTGCCGACTGTTGTTTGGTAATTTTGACGAGTCATTAGCCTATAATGAGGGTCCTGAAGGGGGGGGGGCGGTCCCAATCCCATTTTCCACCAGAAATTTTGGCAAAATCCCAGTCCCAGTTGGATTTTTATTAGATATCCCAGTCCGAGTTATTGAAATCCCAGTCAATAAAAACCCCTTTATTTATCGGTAGAATAAACAGTTTTAAGACCTTTTAAATTAAGCCACCGTATGTGCAAGTGGCGGAGACTTTATGAAATATTGGGGGGAGGGGGACTCGTGCCGAAGGCACGGAAAATTTTTAACTTTGAATCCCGGAAATGGCATTTGCATCATTCTGAGACACGCATAATCAGAAAACTCAAAATTCTGGGCGCCAGAGTATGCCTGTTCGCAAGTAACGCTGTGAATAATATAGTTAACAACAAAAACCATGACTAAAGACACCAAAAACGGATCACAATTGGGAATCGACTCATATTACTTCAATCCCATTCCCATTTTTGAGGACTTCATTTCCTATTCCCAGTGGCCAAATCCTAGTCCCAGCAACACAAATCCCATTTTCCCAGTCTAAAAATAGATCAATCCCAGTTCCCATTTTACCCCTTCAGGGCCATCTATAGTAAATGTGCATGTTTAAATGCACTTTATTACCCTCCGATTAAGTCGGTTTTCCACTGGCGAATTTTTCTGCGCGAAGCGACCTTTTTCCTTTGTCGGCATCCATTTTGCAGCCCTCGAAAAGTCAAAACCGTCAAAATTGAGGTCGGCAAAAGAGGGCCGACCTAAATCTGACCTAGGTCGGTACATCTCGGCATTTCTTAAAATCTGTTCCACGTCTTGGAGCACTATTAATCACGCATTTACGAATCATTGAAATCGGAATATAACTGGAACGTTACCTCCAGCCGGAAAATTCGAAAGTTGGAGCCAAATTTTAACTCCAGACGCGCGAAATTTGATCTTCAAACATCTAACGTATATACACAATACCCGTCAGTTTTTAAACCTTACACCGTATTGTGTTCAGTTAATCGAACTACGGATCGAATTCTATAATCGCTGACATTTTAAAAGCTATCAGCATAAAAACTTCTTACTTTGGTTGAATTAAGGTGGGCAAAAATTTGCATTTAGCCCGGCATTGCCGAATGCCGACCTCGTTTTCGAGGACTGATTTTGCCACGTCTTGCTGACGTAATAAGTGATACCGACAAAGGAAAAAGGTCGCTTCGTGCGAGAAAACCGACTTTATTGCCTCTTTTATAGAACAGTATAATAAGCAACAACAGAAGTGAAGATACTGTATTCGAAAAAACTTGCATTGCTGCATGTGCCGTGGTTTCTTTGATGCATGCTATTCATGATATTCGGTTTGAATTCAATTATTCAGGAGGTCAATTTTGGTTTCTTCGGTGGTTATCTTCAGCCAATCCAGTTTTGCCGACTGAGATAACAATTTGCCGATTAGCTGACGAGGGGGGTTCCACCCCCCTACACCCCCCTGTAGCGCCGCCCCTGATTCGGCCTATGAGAAAAGTGAAGTCAAAATGGCAGAATTGATATCCAATAGCTATGAAGGTCGTAAACGGTTTTCATACCATCCCCCCCCCCCCAGCTAATTCCAGTTTTATTCTAATGGAGCGTATATCGCTAATCAAGTTATCAGCTCATAAAACCATAGACAGTATTATTCTTTAGATCGAAGTCAAAATATACGAAATTTCTGCACATTCCTTGAACACCGCGCAGTTAAAAATAATAGAAACTGACGTCTAATATATAGCTCCATCTTCGGCTTCACTTTTTGAACTCCAGATAAATATGCAGCTGACCTTGGTCAAGACACGATTGAAACTCACTCTTTAAAACACCTAAACACTGGTTTACACTATCAAAGTTTCTGTGATCACAGTAGGAATTTTGCGTAGGTAAATTCTAAATTTTAAAGGATTTGTAAGGAATATTTGAGGGAACTGACTATATAGACTCACTCGGTGTTTATTAACATTAACGCGCCTGTACTCTAAAAGCACAATCACACTCAAAGTGTAGAGGTTCAATCGGAGCTTCCCTTGAGTGTTTGCTGTTTTTGAATAGCTGGAGGGTGAGTAGTCGCACAATAAGGTACGAGACTAACCCTCCAGCTATTCAAAAACAGCATTGAGTCCATTGACACTCAAGGGAAGCTCAGATTGAGCCTTCACTTTTGAGTGTGAGTGAGCTTTTAGAATACAGACGTAAGTCAGTTTGCTCAAAAATTCTTGCAAATCCTTCAAAACTGAGAATTTACCGATGCAATATTCCTACTGTGATCACCGAGACTTTCATGATGTAAACCGGCCTTAACATGTTCGACTTATTACTGAGTTTAATGTTTCTACATCACGAAGGAACTTTGGCCAGGAAACTAAAAAAAATGTTTCGTTTCAGGGGATGGAAAGGCGAACTTCCAAGCAATTCGAAGAAAATTACAGCATTGTGCAAGACGTTCACGAAGTTGAACAAAAAGCAAAGCCAATTGTGTGTCAAGTACCCAGATTTAATGGAGCCAATCATTCGCGGTGCAAAGACCGGCGCAGATGCGTGTGGACGACAGCTCAGCACCAACAGATGGAATTGCTCGAACGTTCCGGAACATGGAACCTTATTTGGCCCGGTTTTACCTGTTGGTAGGTTGAATATGAGAAATTTTTATGCTTATTAATGTCCCATGCAATTGATGGTGGAGACCATATGTCTCATGGTTAGATATGTAATCATGGTGTTAATCAGAAGATTGAAAAATCCGGCAATTTAGTGAATTTGGGAATTTCAGTTAGCCTGCGACACTCTGACCGGAGTTTAGGAGAGGTTTCCCAGCTCAAATTTTGACTAAATCCCATTGTCCTAGAGCACAAATCCCATCATCTCAGTGGCTGTCCAGCTCAAATCTTAATCCCATTCCCATTTCTTATTGTTTTTTTGCTGATGAATGCCAGTCCCAGTGCATGAAATCCCATTTTCCCACCCAAAAATAAGCAAATCCCATTTCTTGCAAAGTTTTGAAGTTGAACAATCTTTTATATAATATATATAATAGTTGGCAGATCTAAATTGTGAAATTGCTAGCTAAACGTAATATATTATGAAATGTTTTATCAAATTTCGCGGACTTGAAATCTATATAGTCCAGTCCAATTGAAGGCTGTAGTTCATGATGAAAATTATCCAGTGGAAATTTGTATACATTTGAATAGACCTATGTCTTTTATACCAAATGCATGTGTCTTGTATATGTTTCAAATGCTGGTTGCAGTCCACTCGTATATGCAAAGCATTGAATTTTTCTTCTGAATTTTTTTACCAGGTTGTAAAGAATCCGCCTTCCTGTACGCAATAACAGCGGCAGGCGTGGCTCATTCTGTCACGAAGGCGTGCAGTTCTGGGATGTATTCGAGTTGCGGCTGTGATCGATCGCTAACCGGACGCCCTTCTGGGGACTGGGAATGGCGTGGTTGTCATAGCAATGTAAAGTTTGCCGGGGGGTTGACGAAGGAATTTTCAAGCGCTCGCGTTTCGAAGACTGGGCATGTTGAGCGGAAGAAAATGAACAGACATAATATTCGTGCTGGAATAAAGGTCGGTGCTTCGTCGCCTACACGCATAAAAATCCCGCATCTTGTAGGAAGTCTGCCAACAAGCCGTTCAACAAGCCGTTCGTTGTGTTCGCACTGCTTGTCCCAAGTTGTCAACAAGTATGGAACAAGCTGTTGACAACTTGTAACAACCTTGTTGGTCAGTTTTATTGCAAGGTTGTTCCAACAAGTCTGATATACAGTCATGCCAACTTTTTACAACAACTGGGAACAAGCAGCGTGAACACAACTTGTCGACAGCTTGTGAACAGATTTGTAATAATTTGTTTGCAGACCTGTAACAACTTGTGCGTATGTAGCAAGTCTGCCAACAAGCCGTCAACAAGTTGTGTTCGCACAGCCTGTGCCAACTTGTCAACAAATATAGAACAAGCTGTTAACAACTTGTAACAACCTTGTTGTAACAATCTTGTTGTATTATCAGATTTGTTGCCAGGTTGTTCCAGCAAGTCCGATACAGTCATGATATAACAATATTGTTAGTACAACCTTGTGTTGTCAACCTTGTAACATTCTCGTTATATCATGACTGAATCAGACTTGTTAGAACAACCTTGTAACAAGTCCGATAATGTCATCAAACTTGTTACAAGTTGTTAATAGCTTGTTCCAAACTGGTTCCAACAACTGGGAACAAACAGCGCGACCATAACTTGTCGACAACTTGTAAACAGATTTGTAACAACTCGTTTGCAGACCTGTTACGTGTGCACATGGGTTTTACTAAGGCAATCATAATGAGAAAATCACCATCAGAGTGGGAGGGTTGGGTTGGGTAATAAACTCTATTGTCATTTCCAAAGCAAGAAATCAATCCAAGTCACTATCTTCACAATTTTCGATTTGTCAGGAGGCAAATGGTGTCTTCAAAGAAAGTAAATGTGCAGACAACATGAAACTTAGTCTGTAGATAGTTGCACATGCAGTTATCAAATGTCACAGAAGTTGTAAAGGACATCTGTGACAACTGAATGGCATCCTTTTGTAAAGTTTTTGGCCAAGGATGGATATTTATTTTTTAATTGATATTTGAAGTAGAGCACAACATTTTTTTGACTTTTTAATGGTTGGATCAGCACAATTTTTGCCAAGAAAAACATTTCTCAATTTTCAATGCTGTTTTTTTTTCAGGCGTTATCGCAGCTTCTGTATAGAAAATGTAAGTGTCACGGTGTTTGCGGTTCCTGCGAGTTAAAAACGTGCTGGATGCAACATCCTACAGAATTTGAAAATGTAGGGAAACGTCTTTTAACGAAATACAAAACCGCCATTGAAATGGTAAAGACCAAACGAGGCCCAAGTGTCTTGCGTATGAAGGACAAAAGCTCGGGAAAACCTAATCCGGATGATCTCATCTATTTCCGATCATCCCCGAACTTTTGCGATGTGAATACGAGGCTAAGGACCCCCGGAACATCAGGCCGTGTTTGTAATGTCACCTCGTCTGGTATTGATGGTTGTGGTATTTTGTGCTGTGGACGGGGGTACAATATTCAAGTCGTTACAGAAATGGTCAAGTGTAACTGTCGTTTTTTCTGGTGTTGTCATATAAAGTGTGATACGTGTAAAAACACGCGGGAAGTATATACCTGCAAATAAGGCAGTTGTATAACTGGTTGCCTGTGTGCGGGCTGTCTGAAGAAGAGATGTCTCGCATTGTAGAATGACTGCTCGTATGACGTGAATCATTAGTCCGTCATCTAGTACAAATGGCGAGACAACTAACATGCCTATAGGTTGTATATTATGTAAATGGCATGAAAATTTCTGTATAGTTGGGGGTCGCCTGAGCAATTAATTTCGCATTTTATTTATCAAAATCCATTACCTGGCGGTAAGCCCCGATCAACTAGTATGAGAGTCAAATCTTTCAAAAAAACTCTCGTAAATTCCGAATAGCAGTTCATTTTAAAACCCAAAATGTGTGAAAGACAAGAGACAAGATTCAACAATAATATTTCGAATTTACTGAAGAATTCGCAGTAAATTCGAAATATAACGGTCAAATCTTTGTCTCCCCTTGTGTTTTCCTTGTGTTTCTCAAATGTCGAGTTTCAAGGTGGAATTTTTATTAGGATTTTTTATCCAAATTTACGGCCAATTTGCTTTTTCGTTTTGCGGCTATAAGATAAATTGACAACCTCGTTTCCAGGCTTTTCCCCGACCATCTATTTCTCATTGCATTCTTGCTTCAACGGTTTGATAATTGATACCAAGTTTTTGTTAATCTGATATGACAACTGAATGAAACTAAAACAATTTATAATTTGGCATTAGAGCCAGTAATCTTTGTGCACTGCAGCTATTGAACAGCTTTATTTTACTCATGTAATATGTGTTCGATTATTGAGTTTCAGTACAGTACGCAAATTACACCTATATAAGAGAAAAGAAATTACCAAGTATAAAACTGCGAATAACTTCAGCCTTTTGACTACCATATATGTTGCACGATATTGCTAGTGAAACTCACCTGTAAACTTTGATGGGTAATGTATTTATATCATGTAATTATAACCGTGCATAGTTTTGATTAGATTTCAGGATTTTATTCAGTTATTCTAGAGGGTACTTAAAGAGTCCAAACAAACAAACAAACAAACAAACAAGCAAGCAAGCAAGCAAGCAAGCAAGCAAGCAAGCAAGCAAGCAAGCAAGCAAGCAAGCAAACAAACAAACAAACAAACAAACAAACAAACGGACTTGAAAATATGACTTGGCGGAAGGTAATGTGGTTTGGAACTTCGGAATTTTATCCAATAATTTGATCACGTAAAATGTTCTGGATTAGAGTATTTATTGACTACACACGTAAAAACGCACAAGTTGTCACAAACCTGCAGCAGACTTGTAGCAATTCTGTTCCAACAACTTGTCAACAGGATGTGTTCGCACTGCTTGTTCCCAGCTTGTTGACAAGTTGTCAACGGCTAGTTGACAACTTGCTACAAGGTTGTTGGAGCTCAACAGACTTGTTACAAGTTATTCCAACAACTTGGTATCGTCCTGCAATTCACCAATTTGTCAACAAGTTGTGAGTGACAACCTCGTAGCAACATGATAAAATAACAGCATTGTTACAACTTGTTGACAAGCTTGCTACAAGCTTGTTGCGAACACATTTTGTTGACAAGTTATGAGATTTTTACGTGTGTAGATCAGTGGGCCACACACGTAATAAAGCACATGTTATTACCATCAGCAAACATGTACAAGTTATTACAAATCTGTTCACAAGCTGTCAACAAGTTGTCTTCGCACTGCTTGTGCCCAGTTGTTGTAACAAGTTTGGAACAAGCTGTTAACAACTTGTAACAAGCTAGATGGCATTATCAAACTTGTTACAAGATTGTTCTAACAAGTATGATACAGTTATGATATAACAAGAATGTTACAAGGTTGACGACACAAGGTTGTAAAAATATTGTTATATCGTGACTGTATCGGACTTGTTGGAACAACTTTGCAACAAGTCTGATAAAATTGACAAGGTTGTTACAAGTTGTTAAAAGCTTGTTCCAAACTTGTTGACAACTTGGGACAAGCAGTGCGAACACAACCTGTTGACGGCTTGTTAGCAGACTTGTTACAAGTTGTGAGATTTTTTCGCGTGTAGTTGTGCCCGCACTGCTTGTTCCTAGTCGTTGACAAGTTTGGAACAAGCTGTTAACAATTTGAAACAAGCTTGATGGCATTATCAGATTTGTTACAAGGTTGTTCTAAAAAGTCTGATACAGTCATGATATGACAAGAATATTACATTTTGATGACACAAGGTTGTAATAATATTGTTATATCATGACTGTTTCGGACTTGTTGGAACAACCTTGCAACAAGTCCGATATTATCAACAAGGTCGTTACAAGTTGTTAACAGCTTGTGTCAAACTTGTTGACAACTTGGGACCATATGCTTGGGACAAGCAATGCGAACACAACTTGTTGACGGCTTGTTAGCAGATTTGCTACAAGTTGAGAGATTTTTGCGTGTGTACATACACACGTAAAAACTCACAACTTGTCAACAACATGTGTTCGCAACAGGCTTGTAGCAAGCTTGACAAGAAGTCGTAACAATGCTGTTATTTTATTAAGAGGCAATTTTTTTCAATGTCACATATTTACAATGGAAAGTGTTCAAAACCTAAAATCTTTTTGGCGTTCCGATCCTCTCACAATCACTTTGTTTTTGCTTTATTCTCTAGTTTATACAGTTTGCTACCTTTTTAAATGCATCTGCAGGTTGAGAAACATAAAATAATAGTTAAGAATTGTCAATTAAAATACAATTATCAATGATGCTTTAAAATCGACGCCATATTTATTATAGCTATATAAGCAAAACTTACTGAACTTCAGACATAATTTTCTCTTTGGCGTATCATCTAAATTCTCTTCATTTTAGCATTATTTTACAGATAAAGCACTGAACATACTTTTTAAGTTTGTTTGCCGATTGAGAAACGTACGTATCGAAAAATAAAAAGTTTGAATTTAGTCATAACCTTAAGTGGTATATTATACGCATTAGTTTTGAGCGCGTGTTACGTAACATACAAAAAAAATCTCCTCTTAAGTTGCTACAAGGTTGTCAATCACAGCTTGTTGACAAATTGTTGAATTTCTGTACAAGGTTGTCAATCACAGCTTGTTGACAAATTGTTGAATTTCTGAAAGATAACAAGTTGTTGGAACAACCTGTAATAACACGTCTCTTCAGCTCAACAACCTTGTACACACGTAAAAACGCACAAGTCTGCAAACAAGTTTTTAAAACTCTGTTCACAAGCTGTTGACAGTTGTGTTCGCACTGCTTGTTCCTAGTTGTTGTAACAAGTTTGGAACAGCTGTTAATAACTTGTAACAAGCTTGAATACATTATCAGACTTGTAACAAGGTTGTTCTAACAAGTATGATACAGTTATGATACAAGAATGTTACAAGGTTGACGACACAAGGTTGTCACAATATTGTTATATCATGACTGTATCGGACTTGTTGGAACAACCTTACAACAAGTCCGCAATATCAACAAGGTTGTTACAAATTGCTAACAGTTTGTTCCAAACTTGTTGAGAACTTGTGACAAGCAGTGCGAAGACGACCTGTTGACAAACTTGTTACAATATGTGAGATTTTTGCGTGTGTATACTTTGTTCTACACACGTAAAAACGCACAAGTTGTTACAAGTCTGCAAACAAGTTGTTACAAGTCTGTTCACAAGCTGTAGTACAAGTTGTCTTCGCACCGCTTGTTCCCAGTTTGTTGTAATAAGTTTGGAACAAGCTTGATGGCGTTATCAGACTAGTTACAAGATTGTTCTAACAAGTTTGTTACAACCAAAACCATGATATAACAAGGGTGTTACAAAGGTTGTCAACACAAGGTTGTAACAATCTTGTTATATCAAGCGTGTAACGAACAACCTTGCAACAAGTCTGATAATTTCGACAAGGTTGTTACAGGTTGTCAACAAGTTGTTCCAAATCTGTTGACAACTTGTGACAAGCAGTGCGAATACATCTTGTTGACGGGTTCGTCGGCTTGTTGGCAGGCTTGTGTAATATAAAGCTCCATGTGACAATGTCTCCCACTGAATTAAATTGTCATGTACATGCGTAAAAATCTCACATCTTGTACCAAGTCTGCCAACAAGCCGTCAACAAGCTGTGTTCGCACTGCTTGTCCCAAGATATTAACAAGTTTGGAACAAGCTGTTAACAACTTGCGACAACCTTGTTGATTTTAGCTGACTTGTTGCAAGGTTGTTCCGATACAGTCATGATATAACTATGTGTCGTCAACTTTAATTGTAACATTCTTGTTATATCATGACTGTATCAGACTTGTTAGAACAACCTTGTAACAAGTCTGATAATGCCATCAAGCTTGTTACAAGTTGTTAACAGCTTGTTCCAAACTTGTTACAACAACTGGGAACAAGCAGTGCGAACACAACTTGTCGACAGCTTGTGAACAGATTTGTAAGACCCTTGTAACAACTTCGTTGCAGACTTGTAACAATTTGCGTTTTTACATGTGTAGTTGTAGCCTGTTGTCAATAAGATGTCAACAAGCCGTTCACAACTTGTCAACAAGATGGGAACTCGGTTAATAGATTAACTGTGGTTTGGATTAGATTAGCAAGTTATCCGAGATGACGTCACAGGTGAAACATTTCGCAATATATAGTGGTTTAAAATTCCAAGATGGACACCAGCGAAGTTCGTGCAGAACACAAGTTTGATAGAATTGCTCTGGATAAATATCTTGCGCGACATCTTCGTGGTTATCCTAGCAATTCAAATGAAAATCTGGTCGTCCGCCAGTACAGGTATTACGTTTTTGTACTTTTCGATGCTCAATTTTCGTACAGAACTGCAGACGTATTTGTGAAATTTTATATATATATAGTTTTTGCATTATTAATAGTATTAGTACATGCCAAATTTTCTCTTTCATGTTTAGGTAGTATTCTTTTACATATAATACCTATACAGTAGCTACAGTCCAAATACTGTGGAATTGGGGATGACCCAGTCATTTGAAGTCATTGGAGTATTAGAGAGGGGCGGGGGGGGGGGGGGG